GCAGTGGCCCATCCCAAAGAAGGGCAGTGCCAAAGAATGCTCCAACTACCGTACAATTGCACTCATCTCACACGCTAGCAAGGTTATGCTCAAAATCCTACAAGGTAGGCTTCAGCAGTATGTGGACCGAGAACCCCCAGAAGTCCAAGCTGGATTATGGAGGGCAGAGGAACTAGAGACCAAATTGCTAACATGTGCTGGGTTATGGAGAAAGCCAGAGAGTTCCAGGATAACATCTACTTCTGCTTCATTGAATATGCAAAAGCCTTTGACTGTGGGAGTGCCTGACCACCTTAAATACTGAGAAATCTATATGTGGGACAGGAAGCAATAGTTAGAGCTGGATATGGAACAATTGATTGTTTCAAAACTGGGGAAGGAGTACGACAAGGCTATATATTATCCCCCTGCTTAGTGAACTTATATGCAGAATACATCATCCGAAAGGCAGGACTGGATGAATCCCAAGCCGGAATTAAGATTTCCGGAAGAAATATCAACAACCTCAGATATGCAGATGATACCACTCTGATGGCAGAAAGTGAGGAGGAATTAAAGCCTTCGCGAATACATTAAATGAAAGAACCTCTTAATGAGGGTGAAAGAGGAGAACGCAAAATATGGTCTGAAGCTCAACATCAAAAAAACTAAAATCATGGCCACTGGACCCATCACCTCCTGGGAAATAGAAGGGGAAGATATGGAGGCAGTGAAAGATTTTACTTTCTTGGGCTCCATGATCACTGCAGATGGTGACAGCAGCCATGAAATTAAAAGACACCTGCTTCTTGGGAGGAAAGCTATGAGAAATCTAGGTAAAGATAAAGGTTCCCCTTGACAATTTTTGTCCAGTCGTGTTCGACTCTAGGGGGTGGTGCTCATCCCCGTTTCCAAGCCATAGAGCCAGCATTTTGTCCGAAGACAATCTTCCGTGATCACATGGCCAGTGCGACTTAGACACGGAACGCTGTTACCTTCCCACCGAAGTGGTCCCTATTTATCTACTTGCATTTGCATGCTTTCGAACCGCTAGGGACAAGTGACGGGCGCTCACTCCGTCACGTGGATTCGATCTTATGACTCCTTGGTCTTCTGACCCTGCAGCACAGGCTTCTGCGGTTTAGCCCACAGCGCCACCACGTCCCTCAAATGAGAAACCTAGAGAGCATCTTAAAAAGCAGATAAATCACCTTGCCGACAAAAGTCCGCATAGTCAAAGCTATGGTTTTTCCAGTAGTGATGTATGGAAGTGAGAGCTGGACCATAAAGAAGGCTGATCGCCAAAGAATTGATCCTTTTGAATTGTGGTGCTGGAGGAGACTCTTGAGAGTCCCCTGGACTGCAAGGAGATCAAACCTATCCCTTCTGAAGGAAATCAACCCTGAGTGCTCACAGGAAGGACAGATCCTGAAGCTGAGGCTCCAATACTTTGGCCATCTCATGAGAAGAGAAGACTCTCTGGAAAAGACCCTGATGTTGGGAAAGTGTGAAGGCAAGAGGAGAAGGGGGTGACAGAGGACGAGATGGTTGGACAGTGTCATCGAAGCTACCAACATGAATTTGACACAACTCCGGGAGGCAGTGCTCTGGTCCATGGGGTCACGAAGAGTTGGACACGACTGAATGACTAAACAACAAGTCTGTGAAACAAAGCAGAAAAAAAATCTAGGATGCTTTATTCACAGATACGTAGTGTAAAATTTACTTTAGAGTGAAGGCAGAACGATAGAAAGAAGACAGAATTATATTAAATGGTTACTTTAGCTTTATATTTAAACAAATAGTGCCGTTGCTTATTTGTGCCATCACAGTACTATGGGGACAGAGTTTAGCACTTCTTATTTACAGTTCAGCAGAATGGTTTCAGCAGGGAAATGGATTTCTTTAAAGGTCTCCTAAAGAACGCTTAAAGAGGTGTTTTTCGTAGAAGGAAGAAGAGACATTGTATGAACACCCCAGTAAACTGTGTGCTCCTCCAGCACTAAATGTCAAAAGAGGACATAAACCCTCCATTTGGGAGACCCCTTATGAGAAGTTGGCTATGTTTTTGGTTCTGAACTGAACTGGATGCATGTCTCTCAAAGAAGTTCCTTCAAAATGAGAAACAAGTTTCCTTTATGCATTTGTTTAATGTGTAGTCTTCCTTGCACAAGATGATGCTCTCAATAACTCAAATTATTGCTAGTTAAAAAGAGGGTTCTGGTGGTCTATTATAAGTAGCTAGTTAGATCAGCATAACAGACAAGACTACGAAACAGAGAAATCATCTGACGGGCCGCTAGACATTTAGATCTTATATTGGTTGCCTGCTACCCTAATGGCTTTTTACATCCAAATTCAGTTTCTCCTTCACATACGGAAGCCATTTAGATGTCACTCTCCTAAAAAGAAAATCCACACACACACCCCATACTACAGAGTCAAATACAAAAACTCTTTAGAGGTAGATGCTATAAAACTGACCTGATCGGCTGGCTGCTCATTTGCCAAATCTTAATAGACAACTGCGTGGCTTCTGTGCTCACTTTCTATAGTCGTTTATTTTATTTTATGAGAGTCCTTCAGAATGTATTGTCAACCAAAGACAAAATGACTGCACCCTCCTATCCTGAAGGTTGTTTTGCATCCAACACTAACACACCTACCCTTTTGACCAAGTTGTTATTCATGTTTTCAATACTCGGATAGTCACTAAAGCAGCACTGACATGAAATCTCATTGACTTAACCAATCTCATCTTAGGGTCCAAATACTGGGGAAACAACCAGCTCGGTTCTACTTCTAAATGCTGAGGTTTCTCTTTAAAGAGATGCCCTAGTATAAGATTCATTGAAATAAATGCCATTTTTTCCTCCTTTGACTCAAGCTGACATCTTTTCTTAACAGGCAAAGCCTGTGTGTTTGCTAACTGCCGTGAAACAGGCACAAATCAACAGGGAAAGTACTCCTTCTTGTAGGGAGGTGTTGATGGAAACAGTATCACCTGTTTGCTTCTACCCCCATACAGTTGCTGGATGCATGTAGCATCTCACCATTTAAAACAAAAGGGAGGAGTATTCTACCCCAAATGTTTTATTTGCCTGTGTGAGGCTGTCAACTGAGATTGTTGCTGCTTAGTAGACAACCCAACACCATTATTACAACCCTCAGTGAAGCTTGTCCCAGGACATAATCCCAGTTGTTGGTATTAATTGTTTGGGAGGAGCTAGGATGCTGGTGAAACCCCTGAGACTATAATAGGTAGGGCTGCAAGGGCTGGTTGGCTATGATCTACTTCTCCATTTGGATGCTGTTGTATGAGAAGTGTGGTAGGTGTCTTATGATTCTGTTTTAAGGAAATAATGAATGATAGCCCTGGTGGGGTTTAACTGGTGTTTTGGTGGAAACAAAAGTTGGGAGGGGTTAACCAGTGATGGCTGATCCAGTGGGACTAAGGAGTTGTAGCCTCAACAGAAGCTCAAGTAACACCCAGTCATCTCCTTTCTACCTGTTTCCTTATCAAAGGTAGAAAGGTCAGGGGCCCTATTTCTGTGTTTATGTGAGAATGTCTGCTTATCTTTCTCTGAGTGTTCTACGTGTTTCTGTGAATATTCACTTTGTCCCAGCAATGTCTGTTACTGTGAGCACTGCCCACTTTTGTTGTGTTTTCCAACCAACCAACCATTCTGGGCACCAGTCACCACCGGCCTTACCTTGAGAGAGTGAGTTATTCTGCAAAGAAACTGAGTCTGGGGTTGAGACAAACAACATGTTGTAAAGAATCAACAGCTTCAATGTGTCTCAGGTTGCTAGAGGCCATCATTCTTGGCTGATCTAAGGCTAACAGACTGGGTGTGGTTTTACCTAGTAAGAAATGTCTTCTGGCCAAGTCCCAGTGATTTTACCACCTGTATTGAGGGACAATGTCACCTCTGTGTCATGACAGAGCTGGCGGAGCAGTCTCCCAAAAGCAGTACAGCCACTATTTCAGTAAGCAGGTGAAATCACTCTTAAATTAGAATATATTCCACTGCATCTCTTAAAAACATTAAAACCCCTGTGGGCCATAAAACAAATTCCCAAATCCATGCTGGAGTAATCCATTCATCATCATAATTGTGTGCCATCAAGTCAGTTCTGCTTGACGTTGATCCTTTTCTGAGTTTTCTAGGTACAAAGTATTCAGACATGGTTGATACCATTCCCTTCCTCTGGGAATGTGCAGCTTGCCCAAGGTCACACAAGCTGGCTTTTCCCTCCCTGGAGGTACAGTGGAGAATGGAACTCCCAGCTTCTGGCTCCACAATCGGATATTTAACTCTCTCAGCTACAGATCAACCAAAATAGCACGAAGCCATGTACAGCCTTATAGGTTAGAGCCAGCACTTTGAATTGTGCCCCAAAATGGGCTGGCAACCAGTGGAGCTTCTGTAAGGGGTTATGTGGTCCCTGTGACCAGCCCATTAGCGATCTAGTAGCCACATTTTGGACCTGGCTGAAGTTTCTGAACACTTTGGAGAGGCAGCCCCACATACAGCACATTACAGTAACCCAGCTGGGATGTAACTAAAGCATGCATCACTGTGGCCAGATCCAGGAAGGGGCACAGTTGGCACACTAGTTTTCATTTCATTTCATCCTGGCCACCACCAAAACCCGTTCTTTGTCTTCCTTTGATGAAAACAAGAGGGAAACAGCTCCAAATTTCCTAACAATGAGAGGCAGCCCCACATACAGCACATGACAGTAACCCAGCTGGGATGTAACTAAAGCATGCATCACTGTGGCCAGATCCAGGAAGGGGCACAGTTGGCACACTAGTTTTCATTTCATTTCATCCTGGCCACCACCAAAACCCGTTCTTTGTCTTCCTTTGATGAAAACAAGAGGGAAACAGCTCCAAATTTCCTAACAAAATCCTGAAAAAGGTTGACATAAGTCAGAATTGACTTGATGGCACATTTATTATGAAAAATGGCAGCACACTTTTCTCAGATGGAAGGAGAGTCGGAAAGAAGGGATTCAACTTTAATTTTAAATTCTGCATTATTCTGCTTGCAAAGGCACAAGATGGAGCAACAGTAAATGCCCCCCATGGAATGTATTTGATAGCAGAACTCCCAGAAAGGAGCATCTGCATCTCCTGGTGCCATTATTTCTGTAGCTGGGGAAACCAGAGCCCTTTGACAAGGGTGGAGTAAATGGGTGAGCAGGCAATGGCAGATCTTAGCACAAGCTAACTAAACTGCAGCCAGAGCCTCCAGTTGCAAGAGAACTCTGTATTATTGTGTGTGTGTATGTTTTAAGTTAGCTTAGTACTAATTATTTGTAATTTTGTGCGTAAGGGTGCCATTATTTCTGTAGCTGGGGAAACCAGAGCCCTTTGACAAGGGTGGAGTAAATGGGTGAGCAGGCAATGGCAGATCTTAGCACAAGCTAACTAAACTGCAGCCAGAGCCTCCAGTTGCAAGAGAACTCTGTATTATTGTGTGTGTGTATGTTTTAAGTTAGCTTAGTACTAATTATTTGTAATTTTGTGCGTAAGACGTGAAAATCAGCTTAATACTAATTATTTGTAATTTTGTGCGTAAGATATGACGTGAAAAAGACAGGTCTCCAGCAAAAGGTTAATTTCAGCAGCTACATGACCAGACACTAACCTATGCTGGCTTTATGACCAGACGCACCAGCTGAAATTCCCTTTAATTTGAGCCTATTCTGAACTATGGCAGCCCTTTGTAGGGTTTCCAAGATACAAAGTCCTCATGTGCTGCTTCTGGGGGTGGGGCTGGGGCTGTAGTCCTGTGCAGTTTGCTCAAGGCCCCACAGGGTACTCTCTACTCCCAAGAGATGCGGTGACCAAGAAATCAAACTCCCAACCTCTGGTTCCACAACCAGGAGCTCCAAGCCAATGACCAATCAGCCAGCTACACAAATGTGAAAGAGGCAGTGGTCCTGTTCTTGTCTGCATGTGACCCTCCCTAAGGAGGCTCTTAAAGCCAGCATACTTTAAATTCTCAGCATGTCCTAATCTGGCCTCAGGTGGGGTTTAGAAATGGAGCATTTTCAACTGGAGGTAGTGATAATCATTGTTTTCTTTTAAGAGAAGAACTGCTTCCCCACCCCACTTGCTTCTCTGTCTCCTATCTTTTAGAGCTGACCTATGGCGAATCTATGCAAGACACCCACCAAGACCGCTCACGGCCGTTCTTCCCTGCTTGGGGATATGTAGACACCGGTACAGATTTCCCGTGGTCGCCACTCCATGGATGGTGGTTCCCGAAGGGTTTCCCTGATGCGTAGGCAGGTCTCTGCCTCATCCCTCCGCTCCGAGGGACAGGTTTGTGTAGCCGAACTCGCCAAGCCAAGGTGCGGTCGCTCAGATTCTCTGGCCAAGCCAGACCCGTTAGTTGTATCTCTGCTCCAGGCCCTCACAAAGGCAGGCATCCCGCTTTCCGAGATGGAATTCTTTGAGAGTTTTCTGCATCAGCTGGGGGCTCGACGCCCCGTCCCATCCATGGCCCAAATCCACCGCACCTTTCTTCCAGCCTTGGCTCGACATCACGAATCAGCTCTTCGGCGCACCCTACGGCACCGCGATGCGTTTGTTTTCCTACATGAGGCAACGACCGGGGATGGGCGTGCTGCCTTGGGTATTTCTCTTCTGCCTCTTGACAGGGCTGGCAAGCCTCCATTGCTCCTTGGGGTAGAGTTCCTGGAACAGCTGAGCCACGCTTTAGTGTCCCGTGCTGTGGCCCGTGTGCTTAGCGAGGGGCATGTCCTATTCCACCGGGTGCTGGCTGTGATAACCTCCGGCAGTGCCCCTATGATACAGGCCTTTGCTGCCAATGGGATTTTGGGCACGGTGTTATCAGCTGCCCTCCATATACCTTGCCTCTTGCATCAACTGGAGCTGGTGATGGAGCTGTGGCAAGATCGGTTGGAAAGGCTGGCGACGCTGCTCCATCTTCTAGAAGAGACGCTGGGCCGGCGGGCTAGCCTCCGTCACCGTTATGAGCTCTTTTTGCACGAGCACGAGTCGGGGCTGACTCTGACTCTGCCCAATGACCAAACCGGCCCTGAGGCTTGGCTGGAGAAAGCCGTGGGCATTGCAGAACATCTCCCTTTCCTGGTGGACTTTGTCGCCACGGATGAAGAGGAGGGGTCCCTCATGTCAAAGCTACAGACACTTCTAGGGGAAGGCAATGAGGCGCTGGTGGCGGAAGCAATATTTGCAGCCGAACATGCCCCAGCACTTCTAAATATGGCGCAATTTCTCCGCCAGAGAGGTGAGCCGCTGGCCCATCGGATCTATGGAGAGCTGGACTCTTTGCGCATTTCTTTCTCCTACCACGTAGATGCCGGGTTGGGCCCCAAAACAGAAAGGCATTTAGCTTTGTGCCAACCTCCACTTGCCGAGCACTTCCGGGGGATCCTGGCTCGTAGCCTCAACCGGCTGGAGCACTTGTTGGAGTCTCACCCCGCCGTGCCCACTTTGAGAGCAGTGCGGGCGCTCGATCCCAAGCAGTTGGGTGCTGTGGGTTGGAGCCGTTCAGAGCACGAGCAGGGGATCCCGGGGCTGGCAGAGGTGCCAGAGATTGAGTGGTTCCGATACCAGCACTTGGCCGAAGCGGCCCCTGCAGACGTCTCCCTGCCTCAGTGGTGGGAGGCGCAAGCGGAGCGGCTCCCCACCCTCGGCCCTCTTGCCCAACAATTTCTTTGGCTGCCAGTCTGTTCTCCCAAGTCCCCCTTCCACCCTGGGGGCATCCTCAACCTAACAGGGGCTGGAGAGGGATTTACAGAGGAGTCTGTGCGCTTACTGTGCATGATACGGTACAACCGCAATCTCTATTAGTTGACAAATTTCACTTCCACGTTTAATAGTGCCCTTATCCCACCCTGAATGGTGTTAAGTGGTCTTCTGGCTTGCCTGCTGATTCACTTCTGAAATCCTAACCTTTACACCTGGACCCATCTTATCCCTTGAACACCTGGCTAGTGAGAAATCACAAGCCATACAGGAAGCATTCTAATAAAATTCTATGATCTGCACCGGATATTCTTGTCTGTTCCTTTTCTTAACCTAGCAAAGTGACTGAAGAGGTGATCATGATGCAACATGGGGAGGGGGGACTTTTCAGTTTTTCACCAGATTGTAAATCCAGAAGTTTTTTGTGGGCTCTATCCAGTATCAATGGCCCAATACAGGGAACACAGGGAGAAGGCATTTCTGTATTAAACTTAGGCTAGAAATAGACATTATGCTGAACATCAAAGCTGAAAACAATGTTGGAGATATGTGATTCATTCAGGCAGATATTTGTGTTTGAAACTTCAAAGCAATCTCATCCTGAAGACCAATCAGAAAACAAAGCAAGCTACTGGCCAATCCCAGGAAGCGAGAGAAATTCCTGATAGCAACGTTCACCTACAACCATCCCTTAAAGATTTTCCTCTTCTAATGAAATGTTATCCGTAATGTTTGTTTTGGCCTTTAGAACGGCACTTACTATGTTTCTGATAAGCACAACTCAGCTGAAGTTAAGCACTGGAACTCTCATAACTAAACACCTAAATTTTTGTAGGGGCTGAGAGACACAAAAAAGTAAGGCTGCAGAAGGATCTTTCACGTTTTAAATTTGAAGGAGGCATTTTTACATTTCTTGGGGCAAATATACACCCAGTGGGCTTGAAGCAACATTTCTCCACACTCTGTTTTGTTGTCTGCAAATAGCCACTAACTTTCTTCTTCTTCGAACAACATCCTGAAAAAAGCATTGTTTAACATGTGGGTCAGAAACAAATTTGTAACATGTGGATAATCATCATCTTAGAAGTGGAGAGCTAGAATCCAACCCATGTTAAGTAGGCACAGTGGGGAATTAAACACCTATATCTAAACCACTGAACTATCCAGCAGTTAAACAATGATCCTGTTGTAAAATAGTGACTGAAAAAAATCCTTTTCCTTAGTATAGTAAACAAGAGTAGGCCCACTGAAACAGTAGAGATTTGGTGAGGCTTCTGTTGCTTTGATAGGCCTTACTGTGACTTACTGTGCTAACAAATAGGATTTCAGCCATTATGACTTTATTGCTTAAAAATAAAGATATGAACAGGGGGAAATATCTGAAGTGTACAGAATTATGTTCAGTGCTGCAGTTAATTATTTTCTTGCACAGCTTTGGAGGAACGCTTGACTCCCTCTTTTAAAGCTGCTGTTTCAGAGAGAGAGAGAGAGAGAGAGAGAACTAACAGTACACATAATCCCGTACGTTTTTCCTTCATTTGCCCAAATCGCCACTTGGCACCTTCACCATTTTCCAAAGGGGGCCCAGCTGGCCAGAGCCCAATATTTTTTAAATGTCAGCAACTACGCCTACTAAACCAACAGTAAGAATCCCTCTGCATTACATGAACAAAGAACGGCAATGGCTCAAGCAAAAAGAAACTCTTTACCAGCAGACTGTCAGCTACCCATAATCCGCTAGCTGCGCGATGGATGGGGCGTGTGACCAGGTGTGCAATTAGGCACATGACTGACTAAAAGCAAATTGCAAAATATGTGCTGCTATGCACACAGTATTTTGAAACAGTTTTGAGGATGATGCCATTTAAATGAACCGTTGTTACCTGATTCAATGCTCTGGTGAACAGATCACTTTTATCTTGATAGCCTTTAAAGCCATAATGTTGGCTTTCGAATTTCAAAAGTACTGTATCTATTGTACAGTGGGGAAACTGGGGAAACGGGGAGTGGCAACAAAAGGCAAGTGTTTGCAGCCCCTTTTTGGCACTGGATTGGAGACAAAAAGTCAACTAAGCATAAGAGCAAGGAACTGGGTGGCCACAATGGGAAATGAGGACAGAGCTCCTGCATCTTTAATAGCTGTGTGGAAGAAAGAATGTCAAAGGCCTGGCCTGTTCTGGGAGCAACCACTGATGAAATTTCCACTTCCATGCAGGAATTCTGTCCTCATTTTCTGCCAGCCCAATAGTGCACTAAGCTGAAGCCCCTGGATAAGTACATTTCATTCATTCATTCATTCATTCATTCATTCATTCATTCAGCTTTCTCCTAAAAGGATCCAAGGCAGCTTATATAATTTAAAAAAAAATACTAAAAGCTAGAACAATAATTTATTACAATATTTTAAAATAATTAAACAAATATATAAAAAGGTTAAGGTGAAAGCAGTATTAAAAATACATTTGCAACGACAGAAATACAATATCAGGCAAAAAATAAAAAATAGAGAAGACAAAAGTGTTGCGGCACCTTAAAAACTAACTGCTATATTCTAATGGGAACTTTGAGGATCAAGTTCATTTCCTCAGAAGTAAGAGTGGAAACACATGACAAATATTTACTATACCTTTATACTTGGTTCTTAAATAAAGTAAATGTTTGTTTCCTGGGCACAAGTTGTTGCAGCATTTCACACCTGGCAATAACTTTTCATTCCCCTGTTGATATTCAGTTCCCCTCCCAGGAAGCATTGTTCTGTAAACAAGGGCAATAATTGGTGGCTAAATTAATCCCAGACTATAGATAACAAGAAGGAACAACATGCTAATGAATAGATTTAATCCGCCAGTGGGGCTTGTAAGGTAACTCTAGTTAAGAAAGAAATACAGCTGGGAGATACAGTAAATGTTGTTGTTGTTTAGTCCTTAAGTCCTGTCTGACACTTTCTGAACCCATGGACCAGAGCATGCCAGGCCCTCCCGTCTTCCACTGCCTCCTGGAGTTGTGTCAAATTCATGTTGGTAGCTTCGAAGACACTGTCCAACCATCTCGTCCTCTGTTGTCCCCTTCTCCTCGTGCCTTCACACTTTCCCAACATCAGCGTCTTTTCCAAGGAGTCTTCTCTTCTCATGAGATAGCCAAAGTACTGGAGCCTCAGCTTCAGGATCTGTCCTTCCATTGAGCACTCAGGGTTGATTTCCTTCAGAATGGATAGGTTTGTTCTCTGTGTGGTCCAGGGGACTCTCAAGGGCCTCCTCCAGCACCACAATTCAAAAGCATCAATTCTTTATGATCCAGCTCCCACTTCCATACATCACTACTGGAAAAACCATAGCTTTGACTATGTGGACCTTTGTTGGCAAGGTGATGTCTCTAATTTTTAATATGTTGTCTAGAGAAACAGGTGTCTTTTAATTTTGTGACTGGTGTCACCATGTGCAGTGATCATGGAGCCCAAGAAAGTAAAATCTGTCACTGCCTCCATATCTTCCCCTTCTATTTGCCAGGAGGTGATGGGTCCAGTGGCCATGATCTTAGTTTTTTTGATGTTGAGCTTCAGACCATATTTTCCACTCTCCTCTTTCACCCTCATTAAGTGGTTTTAATTCCTCCTCACTTTCTGCCATCAGAGTGGTATCATCTGCATATCTGAGGTTGTTGATATTTCTT